GTATGGCGGCCTTCATGGCTCGCGGCGCGGCAGGGTCGGTCAACCCGGCCACCCTGTCGGGCAAAAGGTCGAGGGCGTGCAGCAGCACGATAAACTGCTGAGGACTTCGGTCGTAGGACGGCAACCTTTGGTTGCGCACATTGGTCGGGGACCTCACCCTGCTTCGAAAAGGCGGTTTCCGGTGTCCGACAACACCGGACCAACAGCATGATGGCAAGTTTAAAGACGAATTTACCCCAGGAGGGTACCACCAGCTTCGCTGGTGGAGAATCCCTCCCCGAGGCCACTTTGGCCTCGGGCTGCCCCTCGTACTCTGGGGGGGGCAAAAACTGCTTTGACTGCACGACGACTCTGGCTAGGAACACGGAAACGAACGCACGCGATTTGGATGAGACGGGGAGTGGAGCAGAAGAGGGCATGGAGCTGGACACGGAGCTGATGTTGAGTGAGGAGTCAACATCAATGTCCGAATCCAGCCGCAGGGCTAGTCCGATGCCCAGGAAGAGGAGGGGAAGACCGCCTACCACGGGCCATTATGTCGGCCTGGCCAAGGCCAAGCTGGCACTCATCGAGGCCGAACGGGAAGAGGAGCGGAGGAGAGCGGAGGCAGAAGTAGTCGCTGCCTCTCGCGTGGCCCGGGCCAGAGCCCAAGCCCACAGGCTGTCGGAGACAGTTTCTGAAGATGAAGACTTCCAGGCGGCTGGATCCCTCAGCCAAATAATTAAGGAAAACGTAGAGGTGATAAAAAAGGTGGCCAACACCTCCAAAAATCTGAAGGGAGGATATGTGCGGGCCTTAAAGGACGCAGCGGAGGTAATATCAAACATGACAAAAGCTCTGCAAGACAGAAGCGTATCGGACGAGACCAGAGGCCTACAGGCGGACAATGCCCGCCTGCGTGCGGAAGTGGCACAGTTGCGCAAAGAGGTGGCGGAGATGAGGGAGCACCTTGCAACGAACGGAAGGACAGAAGCTACCGCTGTGACCAAGCAACCGGAACCACAGAGGCTGCAACAAAACGACAGTGAGGATTTAGTGCGCACCATACTGTGTCAGGTGGGCACGATGATTAATGCCAGGTTTGAGGCGCTGCAGGATCGGCTTCTTCCTGAGAAGCGCCTCCGTCCCCCGCTGGCGGCGGACACCAGGTCCGACCCCGGGGGCCGAGACGTACCAGAGGCCCCAAGAAAGCCGAGTAAGACCTCGGGGAAATCGGGCAAAGCC